TGTCTGGTCTGCAAAACGTAACTCACCCTGTCACCTGTCAGCGGGTGAGCCACACTGGTCAAAATGTTTTGTTTTTTCACCATGGAAATATTTGTTATTTCATCTTTTTTTCCCCCTACTTTTTTGTTGACTAACTGCTTTCTATACTGGCAGTTTTGTCTGTGTAAATACAGATTCAGAGAGTAGGTAAACATTGGCTGTAAAAAAAAGTCAACACTGTAGTACACAAAAAGAAAGCAAACAATTCTATTTACACAGTACACTTAGTTTTTCAGCAATTAGTTACATGTTAACTGAAAATTCTTGCTTGTTGCTTGTTCATTGTTTACACACTCTATTATGTCTTTATTTAACACATACAGTACATATCATCTTAGTTGCATATCTTCTATTGCTCTTCCATAACAATAATATTTAGTTTACATGTAACATTTCTAGAAAAAATTACTGTTAAAATACAAATGTATTTTTTCAGATCTGTGATGTTCCTCCATGTTCAAAAATGGTGGTGATTGTGCTGTCAGCAACACACACACACACACACACACACATATACACTAATGTGTGTATGTATAACTGTGAAGGTTTTGATTCTCTTCAAATGCTGACTACTGTATATATACACACGATGAGCGAATGTTTAGAAGTTGTGAAGAGTTTGACAATTTCGCTGAGAATAAACTCATTAGTTTTGATCAACAAGCCATGTGCATTTAGTCATTGTGCAAATTGTAGACAATTGTATACTTACTCTTTTGCACACGTGCCAAAGCATGCAATGCAATTTGCTTAAATCAATAAGAAATTCAAATCTGATGTGAACAAGAAACTAATTGTTCAGAGATCTGAACTTATTGTCTCATTTGAGATTTGAGCCAAAGCGTTTGAGAAAAACCGTAATATGTCAGCATGTCTTGACATATCAAAAACAATAGAGTTATTCGCACATATATTGGTTGTGATTGTTGGCCCAGAGTTCCTTGCTTTGAATGTGTTCATTGTCTATATTTCAGAGCTTAGAATGCTTTAGTTAAGTCAGACCGCTGATGATGTCACCACATCGCGCAGATGTTGCCATAACAACAGTCTCACAGCAGGTCTGCATTGTAATTTAACCCTGGTTTATTGGCTATAGGAATAATGCAAAGAGACGAGGTCTAGACATGTTAGACGTGTTGTGCTAATAATCTCTGGTTTAGCTGAAATCCCTCTGATTATCTTTCTCTTTCACTTCCTCTCTTGCTTTCTCTCTCTCGTCCCCCCCGCCTTTCCTTCCTTCCCAGCTCACTCACTCTCACTCTCTCTCTCTCTCTCTCTTTGATGGATGGATCGCTCTTGTACTTCCAATCTGCTATCTCGGCTGATGCGGTTAGGGCCTGTGACGCTGCTGCTGCAGGCAGGAGAGAGAAGGAGAGAGGGAGGGAGGGGTAGCCGAGCAGGACGAGGACGGGGTGATGTGGAGGACACGACATCTGGAAAACAAGCAAATGAAAACGAATGCTCGGGCACCACGCTACAGCAGACGGCACGTGCCACAGAAACAAACAATCTCGGCTCGCTTAGCATCAGCTACTGCGTTAAAGACACCAGGCTACGTCAGTGCAAGCCTTTAGTTTTGTGTTTCAAAAAAGATCTTGTTTTGATGAGGATGAAACTGAAGGCATTGAATCAAGATCACTCTCTCTCAGGTTGTCAGTGTTCAAGGTGAAGTGCGTGTAAATGTCCAGCAGAGGGAGCTGTTTGCCTCAGTCAGGCGCTCAAGGGCTGTCCTGTACCTGAATGCTAATGAGCTGCGGGATAATTGAATAATCTGCAGATACAAGTTTATAATTCAAATTAATAGATGCAATAAATGATCATATCCAGACAAATGTGCCATTAATGCACACAATGTGGTGATCTGTGAATGTCACTGTTTCAGGAAATGATCAGTCTAGTTGTACTCTACCTGTACACTGAGGTATTGAGCTTTTTTTGCATTTGTTTTATTGTAGTTTCTTGAAATGAAAATAAAGGACCTTAGTTAAATGGCAATTTCACGTAAAATGATGTTCAATGGGTTGTATTTTTGAGGGGGGTTTTTTGGCACATACATTTGTTTAGTTACCACAACTTTCCAAAAGACAAAAGGCTAAGGAAGAGATGCCAAATTTACTGTGACTCTCTTTTAGCAAAATTGGATTTCTCACACAATAAAAAAAATAAGGGTTGCACTATATTTTACAGTACGTGCATTTACGTGTACTATACTTACCTAAGGTTAATATAAGGTAACTACCTGGGTTAAGGTTAGGTTTAGGGGAAGGTTCAGGCCGGGTTAGTTCTAGTTATTACCCAGTTATTGTAATTACTATAATGTGTATAAAGTATGTTTATACTTTAAAGGGGAACAGGACTGTAAAATAAAGTGATACCAAAATAAGACTATTCATTAATTCATTAAGCAATCTAGCTACCTATTTAACATATTAAACAAGTAAGCAGTGACAATCTTCCTCTTAATTTAACACATATCCTTAATAGAAATGGTAACTTTTCAACTTTAGATTGAGATGTTGTTATCATTAATCGTGGGGATGTCGCTGAGGCCAGTTCGGGGGAAAGTGTGGTGATGCCGTAAATTCCATCGCAGCAATGTTGACTAGTTATGTAAAATATATCAATATATATATACACACGCATGTGAAATATTAAAATTGCAAGTAGTAAAATTATGAAAACATTAAATAAAAAATATTATAATATTATAATTCAATAAATATAATATTGAAAATATTTAGATTATAAAAATGTAAAAATATCAAATATTTGAAAATATTCCATTTAAAAAATAAAATAATATTATTTTCAACTTAATATCATTTAAATAAAATTTGAAAATATTAAATATTACAAATATTGTAGAAAATAAATAATTTAAATATATATATATATATATATATATATATATATATATATATATATATATATATATATATATATATATACATAAAATAATGGATGCATGCGTCATCAAACTTTGTGAATTGGGCTAATTGAACAGAACTGTACTTTTATACATCCTTGTGTCAAATTTCACATTTGTGTCCAATTAAATATATGATGTCTACCCTGACTAAGGTCCATTAAGACACATTTCTGAATTCAAATTGAAATGGATAATTAGCTATAAACCATAAACAATCTATTTTGGTTTTGCAGTTTTATTAGTCCTGTTCTGTTTATTCAGTCTTATATAGTGTGTGTTTTATTTCACCGTACCTTCACATTTTATGTTTCTCGTTGCCTTTGTTGCAAATCACTCAGATTCCTAGAAAGTGCAAATGTGAATAATTAACACAGTAAACTCAATTTAAGTTCTATTTCTGGACAGGTTTGTCTTGTGTATGTTGGCACATTAGTAATTAATCTGTCAATGCCAATGTTCTCAGACGTTTCTTTGATTTTCCAGGTGAGAAGAACATGTAATGCTATATGTGGGACACTGACCTAAACTGCTTGACCTCTGGCAAGACCGGTCAAAGGTCAACTCACTTGACATCTCTGGCCATATCTTACTGATGAACACGCTCAGACCGAGTCAGACGCACATCTGTGCTTGTGAGACAAACAGTATCAAGTGCGGGCGTAAAATGACACATGGAAGTAATCTGTTCATCTCTGCTCTGGGCAAGAGGCATTTTTAATTTCACTGGAGGATAAAAAGCCAGCGGCAGAACTCCATCCATTTTGTATGGTGCCTTAATTTCACACAGCCCACAGAAAAATTGGCAGTCGATTTGTTTTTTGAAGATCCCTCCATTGATAGTAATTAAATTTGCTCTTGTCTCTGTTTTTTTTCTTCTCTTTTCTCCATATCTCCTCCTCTCTTCCCCATCTGTATGCCTGTACTCCCTCTTCTCATTCTCATTGGCTGTCATCCCTCACTGTCATTCGGCCGCTCCGAGCCATCGACCTCTGCTCTCAGCCCGGTTCAGCAGCGGGTCACCAGAGGGAGGGGGGCTCGTGTTATTGGGGGGTGCCAGCTTCCTTCCCTCGCCACGGTTACAGCTGCTGCTGCCATGGCAACTGGATAGCAGAGCGGACCCGCGTGCAGATACTTGCAGAGAAACACACTCTAATGGTGTGTTACCGGGCCCTGATGTGCTTTAAAACAGGTTTAGCTGCATAAGTGAAAATGACTTGGGAAAACCTGAAATTTGGACTTTTATGTTTTGTTTGGTGCTCAGTACAATCTATTCAAGTATCCAACAGGTTTTATTTTAGGGGTTTGGAACTTTACATTTACAGAAACTGGGTTGGGCTGGTAATTGATGTTGACCAGGAGCGTGTACTTCATTATGTCGTGATTTTTGGTTTGAATTTATGGATATTTAAATTCTGGCTTATATCAAAGCTGATAATTATTTTTATGTTATATGGTGATATCTGGTAAATGACTAATAGTAAAATATTATTTATGTATATATATATATATATATATATATATATTAGTGCTGGGCAAGTTAACGCGTTATTATCGCGTTAACGCATTTATTAATTAATGCCGACAATTGTTTTTATCGCGCGTTAACGCATGTTTTTTTTTTTTTTTTTTTGAAAGTCCGTTGCTCACTGGCTCTGAATACACATAGTCCTACAGTCAAACCATGATCACAGGAGGGGTGGGATGTTGGTCAGCCAGCAAATAACCCACCCAAACAAGCAGTGGAGAGGCTTTGGCAGGTTCTCTCAGGTGAACAGAAAGGGAGACAGCGCTCCGCGAGTGAATGACAGGCGCTCTATGGATAGTAACCATGGCAACGGCTTCTGTGCGCTACGCAGCTGTAGCCTTTTTAACTTAAATTAAAATTATACATAACTTTACCTGATAGGCCTGCGTTTAGTTTAGCGGGGATGCTCTGCCATGTGAATTCCCTCCTGTTGATGTCCTGATAACTATTTAGATTCTGGAAACTCACAAACAGCGAGCCGAGGATCAGTCTCTCTTCCAATGATTTGTGCTGCGCGTCGTGTACAAAAAGTTAGACAATTCCACTTCGGCAACGCGCGGGCGCGTGCGTGAGGCGAGCATGACTGCAACAGTTTCACAGGAACGCACCCGCTTGTCGCTGCACCTGTGCTCGACCACTTCACCTCACTCTCTGTTTAATGTAATCTTACGTGGGAAACCATGGCATGCCATGACCAAACCTAAGCTGCTATCAGAGAAGTAACGTTGGTCGACTTATATCTGTAGTTTGTGCTGCTGCTCCCTGACACAAGATACCTGTTCAGAAAAAAAAACTCTTTTAACAAGCTAGATAAAAGGTAATGCCCTGGCAGTGGCAAATAGCTTTGTTTAAATATTTGATTTGATTACATTAATGTTTAAGTTGAGATTTACAAGAAATATTTTATTGATACTGTGCAAAGGGAATATTGCTGGTATAAAAGCACCTTATTTGTTTAAAGTTTTTGGAAACCACATGTTATTGCACTTTTGTAGCAGTACATTTAAATCAAAAGTGCGCAATACACTACTTTAGAATTCATTATTCAATTTTGCGCGTAACAATGCGATTAATCGCGATTAATCGCACGAAAATCATGCGATTAATCGCGATTAAATTTTTTAATCGTTGCCCAGCACTAATATATATATATATATATATATATATATATATATATATATATATATATATATTAAAATGATGCAATTATTAAAATATTTTGTAATATTATTTTCAACTTTTTATTATTTAATTTTTTAAAATATTTAAATAACAAAGAAATTAACATATTTAAATTATAAAATTAATACAATTATCAAAACATTAAATATTACAAATATTGAAAATATTTAAATTATAAAAAATAAATGTATTTAAAACATTATATTTTTTCAATATAAAAATGGAAAAAAAACCCTAAGATTTTCAACCTAACATTCAAATTAAAATATCAAATATTTAAATGATAAAGTAACATTATCAAAACATTAAATGTTTCAAACATTGAATATTAAAATAACAAAAATGTAAATGTAAAAAATATGAAAATATTAAAAATATGAAATTAAATATTAAAAATAAAACAATAATATTTTCAGCTTCATTTTATAAATAGCATATTAAAATAATACAAGTATTGAACATTGAAATGATAAAAAGTAACAATCAAAACATGAAATATTACAAATATTGAATATTAAAATGATAGAAATGTAAAAAAAAATCTAAATATATAAGAAATTTAACGATATTACATTAATCAAAATTTTTAAATATTAAAATGATTAAAAAAATAATAGTATCAAAACAAAATATTGCAAATATTGAATGTTAAAATAATAAATATTAAAATGTAAAAATATTAAAGTATTAAAAAAAAACACTGATACTACTACTAAAAAAATTGGACATGACATAAAAAAATGGATATTAATTTGCTTAAGATTATATTTAACACAATTATTTGTGTTTTTAAAGAATAACTTGAAGTGTGTTTTAGAGGTAATCAAAATGTAGAAATAAGGCAAATAAACATTAAATGTCCAATATTGGTCAATACATATCCAATATGGACTGATGCAGTACCTATATGTGGTGCATCCCCATTTAAATCAATTGTCACATGGCTAACATTGTCATAAAAGGGATTGGTTAAAAATAGAAACTGGCTTTCCTCTGCTGAGATTTGGCTCCACACACATTGTTTTTCTCCTTCTGTTATCATATCAGGGAGTTTTTTTTGTCACCCTTGTCTTGCACATTGTGGCTAGTGATCTCTGTAAAGCTACTTTGGAACGACATGAGATGTGAGAAGTGCTACAGAAGTAGAGTTTGATTCAAGCATCATGCTTGTCGCATGTTGCCAAACGTTCTAATGAAGAGCAGCGCTGCATGTGCGTAACAGACAGCACTCGTATGCTTTAGCTCATCACGCCTGCAGTCAGCTCCACTTGAAAATCTACAGTACACGCCAGAGGAATGTTTCATAAATCAAAAACTGATTAACGACACGATGTTGGCATCTTGGTGCAGATGATAAAGAGTCACCTGCGAATTGTGGGGTCAAATGAAGGAGAGAAAGTGAGTGGGAATGAGGATGAGAATAGAAGAAATAGCCACAAGCGTAGTTCCAGATCTCTCCAGGTGTTTCGGCACTGAACGGACTTGCTTCACTCAGAGCCCCGGGCCACGAGGTTCAGACCAGGTGGAGCTACTACAAAAGAGACTATTAATTATGCCTTCACCCCTCCTTCTTTTCCTCTCTTTCCCTCTTTCTTTCTCTCTTGCCAAACAAATATGATGGATGGGGTTATCAGTGTCTCACAGAAGCATGAACGGTTGTCAGGTGTGCTTTGATGTCCGACAGCTTGAATCTCCTGCCTTGTGCTTTGATGATGTGCTTGAAATCCAGATGAATTGACATACTGTAGTTCACACTCCATACAACACGGCGGGCCATTAAACACACTCCACATAAGATTTAATACACTTGTCTTTGCTTTGATAGCGAGCTCTACTTTGCACTTTTAAACGCGATTCCCCACAGAGCAATGGCAAAAGCTATTGCCCTTATCACAAAAATATCTATTTCACTTTCACTTCGTAATGCAACCTAAAAGTGTTTGTTACATGTGCCACCTGTCTTTACTATTTTTTAGAAGTTTATTGCTCTCTTGGAGGTCTTGGGATTGTGTGTTGTGCTTTGGGCAGCAACTTGTGAGAGGATTTAGTTTTTGTGCTGTACCTTTGCCATCCAATAGGTGGCGCTCCTTACATAAAACACACTGGCTTTGGTCCATTGAATGCAGAAGGACAGTTTCCACTTGCTCTTTGGTTCAGGGTGGTTGTCAAGGTAAAGTTTGAATATGTATTTTAAGGGTTGTGCGCCTTTCAGAATTGAACTGAGAATACTTTGTATTTGAATTGAATCTGAATTGAGGTAGCAAACAAACAGGATGCAGAATTGCAATTTGAGTTTTGATGTAAGGAAGTAAAATGAATTGGAAATAAATTGAAATTCATAAAACTGTAATTTTTAACTATAAATGCAAAGTTGGACAAGACAAACTATAAATGTTGCCTTGTTAAAGCAGTGTTGCATTGTCTTTGAAAATTTAGCAAAAATGTTTTAAATATGAAGGTTGATGGGCCTCACAGGATGCAGAAGTGGAATTCAAATTTGAATGTAAGGAAGTAGAATTAAAATGAACAGTAATTTAAAGTAGTTCACATAACTCTAATTTTGAACTAGAAAATGTTGAAAAGTAGCAACCTAAACAAAAAGTTGCTATAAGTTGAATGTTTTGAAAATAAGTTTAAAATGTCTTTTTAAGTTTAAAGGTTTATTTTTCGGATGGATGGATGGATGGGTAGACAGACAAAAAGAAAGAACAATAGACAGACATAACGATATACTGTAAGATGGATGGATGGATGGAAAAAGAAAGAAGGAACAATAGACTAAGATGAAGACAGAAAGAATGATAGACAGACAGAACAATAGATGGATGGATGGATGGATAGATAAATGAAAGAATGATAGACAGACAGAACAATAGACAGATAGACAGAAAGAACGAACGATGGATGATGGATGGATGGAAGATGGATAGACAGATAGATAGACAGATAGAAAGAAAGAACGAACGATGGATGCATGGATAGATAGATGGAAGCTGGTTGGATAGATAGATAGAGAGATAGATATAGATAGATAGATGGATGGATGGATGGATGGATGGATGGATGGATGGATAGACAGACAGATAGACAGACAGATAGACAGACAGAAAGAACGAATGATGGATGGATAGATAGATAGATAGATAGATAGATAGATAGATAGATAGATAGATAGATAGATAGATAGATAGATAGATAGATAGATAGATGGACCATGGAAGATGGATGGATAGATAGAAGATAGATAGAGATGGATGGATAGATAGACAGACAGAAAGAACGAACGATGGATGGATGGATGGATGGAAGATTGATGGATAGATGGAAAATGGATAGATAGATAGATAGACAGACAGAAAGAAAGAAAGAACAAACGATGGATGCATGGATAGATAGATGGAAGCTAGTTGGATAGATAGATAGAGATAGATAGTTAGATAGATGAAAGATGGATGGATGGATGGATAGACAGACAGAAGGAAAGAACGAACGAACGATGGATGGATGGATGGATGGATGGAAGATTGATGGATAGATGGAAAATGGATAGATAGATAGATAGATAGATAGATAGACAGACAGAAAGAAAGAAAGAACAAACGATGGATGCATGGATAGATAGATGGAAGCTGGTTGGACAGATAGATAGAGATAGATAGTTAGATAGATGAAAGATGGATGGATGGATGGATGGATGGATGGATGGATAGATAGACAGACAGAAGGAAAGAACGAACGAACGATGGTTGGATGGATAGATAGATAGATGGAACATGGAAGATGGATGGATAGATAGATAGAAGATAGATAGATGGATAGATGGATGGATAGATAGATAGATAGAGGATGGATGGATGGATGGATGGATAGATGGATAGATAGATAGAAGATGGGTAGATAGATAGATAGATGATGGATGGATGGATAGATAGATAGATAGATCTTATTTAATAAATTAGTTTTTGTGGATCAGAGTGGAAGAAAACTTAATTTCCTAGAATGCATCAGAAATTCCTCTTTATGTCACTCTAAATCAAATTCTTATGTGGTGTGGCAATTGAATTCAAATTTAAACTGAATTGAAAGGAATCCAATTTTATCAGTTGTGAATTGAGCAACCCTGTTAACGGTGTGTATCATTTGATCAAAAAAAAAGAATAAAAAGATCATTAGAAATGTATGTGAAAGGATTTTTATATATTGCCAAAAGTACATCAAATATTTTAACGTAAAAGCGTAATCTTTTTAGGCCACAATTAAGAAGTCAACCAGTTCCAGCAAAGCTAACATATACCATTCCATAGCAGCACTGAAACGTGTTAAATGACT